TCTGAGTTTTAGGTAGTTCTCAATTTTGTATTGACCGTCTTGGACACCAGGATTTGTAGGCTGCACAGCATTGCTTTCAAAATAAAATCCATTAATGAATCTGCAATTTGGGGATTGTTTCTCGTGGCTTCTGTCTAAAGCAGCCCACAGGGGCTGGGGATTTAGCTCAGCGGCAAAGCGCCTGCCTGGCAAGCACAACATCGTGAGTTCAGTTCCTGGTACCGGAGAAAAACCAAAAAAAAAAAAAAAAAAAAAGCAGCCCACAAACCTGAGTGTGCCAGAGTTGAGGCTGAAACCACACTGCTACTTGGAAAATCAGCAATAGATTTTAATCTGTTGAACTCTTCTACAGATTCTTCATTCTTATCAGTGTCTGCAGGTACACATGCTTTAGATCCTTCAAAACTCTGAAAGGTCATCTTCTCTGGAAAATGGGCCCTGTCCTCCTTTTGGAGCCAAGAGAGCTGGTGACACCTGGCTCCTGAGGGGATCCCTGAGGAGCGTCAGGTCTGTGAGGGTTGGGCCGATCCCCAGTTTGGAAATGCCAGGTAAAAAGAAAGTCCTCACTCCTTCCCACCCTGTTCTGGCTTGGGTCTAGATGTCCTCCCAGAGCCTCATGCGGTCAAGGGTGGAGCTTTTTCAGAGGTGGCTGGATCTAGAGTGTGTGACGCTGGGACTGACTCGTGGGGCAGTGCTAGGCTCAAAGGCTCTAGCATTAAGGGTGTGAGTGCTACCTGCCCTAAGTAGCCTGAATAAGATATAGGCGATAGAACTGTGGTCTTCGTTTTGCTTGCTTTGCTACCTTCTGCCCACCCTGAACTGTTTCTCGTCTTCAGTGCCTGTGTGCCATGTGAGCCTGCCTTGGAACCAGCCAATTAGGAACTAAAACCACTACAAACTGTGAGCTAAATAAACCTTTCCCCCTTTAACTCTGGCTGTTGGGCAATTTGTCTCAGCAAGGAAGAACAGTAACTAAGACACACCTCCAAGTTGGAAACCAGGACTGAGCAGACGCCCATGCGCAGTGGGTATCCTGCCGTCCCTTTGAACACGTGTGCATCGACGTGCCGTGTTGTTCCCAGATCAGCTAAGTGTCAGCCTTTCTGCTCTGGGTCTTTCTCGGTGCCAGGTTTTGGCCACGATGTCTGTTCCCTCCCTCTGCATCTCCAGTTTCCGCTGTGGTGCCCCGCTGTGGCCCCTGTTGTGGGCTCTGAGCTGATGCACTTCTAGCCCGGTGTCCAGCTAACCTGAATCTCTGGGTCTTTCCAAGTCTCTGTGCAATATGGATCATCACAAATTCTCTGTCAGCCAGTTTAAGTGGCTTCACTTCAGCTGTTGTAATTCCAAGTCATGGAGAAGCTGGAAAATTCCGCCTGCCTCAAATCCATCTTTTTTTTCTGTCATTTTGAGACAGGGTCTCACTATGCAGTTCAGGTTAGTCTTGAGCTCACTTTGTAGTCCAGGCTGGTCTCGAAATTGCAATGATCCTCCTGCCTCAGCCTCGCGAGTGCTGGGATTACAGGTGTGCACCACCACGCCCCCCTCAAATCCATCATCCTTATTCCCTCTCATTATTTTATTTTTCATAGAGAAGATAGGAATATCGTGTATACCACATTTACAATAGTATAGCACTCCGCGTTTCTCAGTGTAGTTACTCTTACCAGTGGATTACATATGTTGCAGTGGTTTTTTTCTTATTAATGTCTCATTCTTTCTGTTTGAAAAACTCCCTTTGGCATTTGTTATAGGGCAGGTCTGGTGGAGATGTATCGTCTCAGCTTTTATTTGTGGGGGGTGTCTGTCTCTCGTTACTTCCCAAAGGATGGATACCTTTGCTGTTTTCCTTAAGTACTATGAAAATTTCCATTTTCTCCTGGCCTGCAAGGAAATTGCAACACCCTTACTTACTGTTTGGTTTTATTCTCTGGCAGCCTTAAGAACCTTTATCTTTCAGAGATTGTGTGTGCCCTGTCTTGGGGCAGATTTGACTTTTCTGTTCTTGGATATTGGTATCACTTTCTGTTTGCTGTGTTTTCTGATATTATTTCTTTAAATAAATTTTCTATCCTATTGGTTTTCTCCAGTCCCATTTGTACTCCAATAATCCAAATATTTGCTGTGTAGATGTTGTGCTAAGTCTACCACAAGCGTCCAAAATTCCTCTTTATTCTTGTTTTCTTCTTTTCTCCAGCACCTGAGCGTTCTTCAGTAGCCCTGTCTCTGTGCTCATTGTCTCTTTTTGATCTAGTCTGCTTGTGATCCCTTTCATGGGATTTTAAATTTCCCTTAGTGTATGTTTCAGCCCAAGGGTTAGTTTGATTTTTGAAATGGCTCCCGTATCTATGTAAATACGGCTGCTGGATGAACTGTTTCCTGTGTTTTCTTGAAGCTCTCTGAGTTTCCTTAAGGCAGCCATTGAAATTCTCCACTGAGAGCGCGCCCATGGTGGTTACTGTATGACCAGTTTCCGGTGCTTTATTTATTTATTTTCTGTTAGATGAAATCATGGTTCCCTGCAAGTTCTTGATGCTTGTTGGTATGTGATGCATCTGGGCCTTGCAGGGTGAGGTGTCATCTACGACCCACTACAGGCAGCACCTTAAGGGTTAGGTATTTATTTACAGTCTTTTAACCTGGCTTTGTGCTTGTCTTTCCAGAAATTCTAAACAGGTTGCTTATTTTCTCTGAGCCTGGAGTCACTTCTGCTCTTCCGGCAGTAGATGGCACCCTAAGCTTAGGTTTTTTTCCAGGAATATACTGACGCTACCTCAACCCGGGTCTGAACTTGATGTGTTGGTCACATTGGAAAGTGGGACAGTGGTGGTGGTGGTGATGGTGGTGATGTGTACAAAAAGGGCAGTTTGTCCTTACAACCCACATCATGGGACAAGGACAGGCCCAGCATTAGGCAGAATCCTGTGGGGGCATCAGGCCCCCAAAGGCCATCCCCAAGGCCACCAGGGCAGCAGTGCTGCTCAGCATCCTCAGCTACTACTGCCACGACCTGCGCATCACTGGGGCTGCCTAGTGCTGAGGGGAGCCCCTCGCCCAGGACTGCTACAACCAGCCATAGGTGATGGCGGCTTGAAAAGAAGCCTCATCTCCAAACTCCGGAGAAAAAATTAGCAGAGCAGAGAGACCACCTATAGAATGTAAAAAAACATCACTAGCTGTCCATCTGACAGAGAGTTGATATCCTGAATATATAAAGAACTCAACAGGAAGAACAACAACACGAAGCCAAGTAACACAGTGAAATAATGAGCAAGTGGCCGGCAGACACTTCTCGACAGAAGTGCAGAGGCCAGTGATCTATGGAAAGCTGCTCAGTAGCCTTCGCCGTGGGGAGCTGCAGTCAGCACAGTGAGACGATGGTTCACCCAGTGGTAATGGCCAAAGCCAAACACCAGAAACAAATGTTACTGAAGAGGTGAAGAAAAAGGAATCTCTATTCACTGTTGGTGGGAATCTAAATTAACGAGTGCGGCCACATGGAGAACAGGACGGGTGGCACCTGATCCAGTGATCGCATTCTTGAGTGCATCCAAGGAAGAGGAAATCAGCTGGGTTCACTGCAGTGCTCGCCACGATGACTGAGATACAGTCGAGGTGCCCATCTCCAAATGTATTGTTCAGCCATAAAGAAACAGAATCCTGCCATTTACAGCAAAGTGCTTAGAACTGGAGGCCATCCTTCCAGGGATATTGCTCAGCAGTGCAGCACCTGCCTGGCAAGTGCAAGGTCGTGAGTTCGATTCCCAGTAACAACAACAAAAAAAACGAAAAAACAAAACTGGAGGATATCAAGTTAAGCAAATAGGCTAGATGTAGAAGTGCACATATCACATGTTCCATCTCATACATGGGGACTGAAAAAGGAAGTGGACCTGAATGCAGAACAGTGCCAGCTGGGAACTGGGAAGGACACGGAGGGGTAGAAAGGGGCTGGGAGAGGGTAGAAGACATGATCAACATGCACGACACATGTGTGCATGCAGAAAGCAAGCTCAGTGAGTTACACTGATTTGCACAACTGATATGTTAATGGTTATTTTAAAAGTAGCTACAGTGGACACTTTTGAATAATTTGAATAATTGAAAACTTTTGTGGATGTTCCCTGTTGTTTGGTAGAGATTTACAGGGAAAAAAATTAATACATATTGCTAAGCTTTACTTATTTATACACCTTTTAAAAATAACCAGTTGAGCCACGCTCATCATCAGGAGGCTGAGGCAGAAGGATCATAGCAAGTTTGAGGCCACCCTGGACTACACAGTGAGCTCAAGCCCAGCCTAGAATACATAGCAATACCCTGTGTCAAAAATAAAACAAAAGAAATAACTAAAAATGAACAAGGATTGACCTTAGTTGTGCTATCAACAGATTAGTAATTTTCCAAGCTGGTGGTGTTAGCTGCAGTTTCCTTTTTCAGAGAGTACATGAGAAATTTGAAGTAAAAGTCATTTGCTTGTATTTGAATTTTAAATTGATTTTGGTTACTTCACCCATACAAACATGTATTAATTTTTTCTTTTTTTGGTACTGGGAATCGAACTCAGGACTTTGTGCTTGCCAGGCAGGTGCTGTGCTGCTGAGCTATATCCCCAGCCTTAAATTTTTTCAATATATTAACACACTACAAAAAGAATGAGATAATGTTAAAATTTTCCTTCTTTATGGAAAAATAATTTATTACCTTAGAATAATATACTGGGGCTTCTTGTGGTGTTTCCTTTTTTTAAAATATAAAAACATATCCTTGTTGAGTATGATTAGAGATAGGTCAGGTTTACTTGTAACAGTAGTAATAACATCTGGGTACTACATTTGTATACAGACTTCTTTTTGCACAAATTTATTATTTGCATTTGAATCTGGTCTGAGATATGATAATACAATCATAATTAATTCTAGTTTCTGTAACCTAGTATGGTCCATTTGAATGGCTTAACTTCCTGTTCTAATTAAAACCTTTTTATTTTTCTTTTCTTTAAGGAAAAAAAAGAAAGCATCCGTTGCTTAACTACTCTTAGCCACTTTGGTTTTGAATGTTTGCCCTATCAGCTGGTGACCAAATCTATGGAGCAAGGATTCTCTTTCAATATTCTCTGTGTGGGTGAGTCCCAAACACCACGTTTTTCTTGAGCTCATTTCCACTTACACAGTCTGATATTGATGAATTCAAGACGATTTCTTAATGTTTGTATTGGTTTCCATCTTCTCAGCCATATTATTATTATTATTAGTCTTTTTGAGACAGAGTCTCGCTGTGCAGTTCAGGCTGGCCTTGAGCTCACTTTGTCTCAGACTGGCCTCGAATCACAATGATTTTTTTTTTTTCCTGCCTCAGCCTCCTGAGTGCTGGGATTACAGGCGTGCACCACCATGCCTGGCTAGCCATATTATTTAAACTTTAAATTTAAATCTGTGTTCTTCAAAATGTGACATAGCATACTCTAGTTTCTCTTCAGATCATATAAATCTTTTGCCTTTTACAAAATCTGACATAGCTTAGTGTGTATTTCCTTTCTAGGCTATCCTTTTTTTTTTTTTGCTTTTTTCCGGTACCGGGAATCAAACTCATGACCTTGCACTTGCCAGGCAAGCACTATGCCGCTGAGCTAAATCCCCAGCCCCCTTTCTATGCTATCTTAATGACTGAGTCATGACTAGCATGTATATTTTCAGGACTATCTCAGTCTTTGAAGTATTTGGGATTATTTATTTGAGATTAATATTTTCAATTAGCAAATTACAATTACACACATTTATGGAGTACAATGTGGTGTGCTGGTATTTGTATACAATATATAGAATGGGTGAATGAAGCTTATTAATGTAGTCCTTATTTCTTTTGCCTATGTTTTTTGTGGTGATACATTTCAAATTTGTCCTTAGTTTTTTGAAATTTACAACACATTGATAACTATAGTCATCCTGCTGTACAACAGACCTCAAAAGTATTCCTCCTATTTGGATTTGTCTCCTTCTCTCAGCAACTCTCTATTCCCCTACCAGTTTCTAATCATCATTCTACTTTTACTTCTATGAGTTTGACTTTTTCAAAACTTGTGGGGCCCTTTAGGCCCCTGCATTGGCTCAGACTGTGACTTCTAAACCCTGTGATCCACACAAGCATACAGAAAACCTTCAGTAAACCCTGTGATCCACCTACGATGATGTGCCTCTGTTGGTTCCAGGGGAAACTGGAATTGGAAAGTCAACACTGATTAACACACTGTTTAACACGAATCTGAAAGACAGCAGATCCTCGCATTTTTATCCAAATGTTGGGCTTAGAATTCAGACATCCGATCTTCAGGAAAGCAATGTTCAGCTGAAACTGACTGTAGTGAAGACAGTGGGGTACGGTGACCAAATAAACAAAGAAGGCAGGTGAGTATTTTCTTACATTAATCAATTACAGTTTTGGGCTTTTTTTGCTACCAGGAATCGAACTCACAGCCTTGCTCTTACCAGGCAGGCGCTGTGCCGCAGAGCTATATCCCCAGCCCTACAGTTTTTTACTTTAGGAAATTTCCCTTCTTTTTTCCTAAATGGTAACATCTTGTAAGAAATTACCTTTCCTTCCAGATTTTAGTTCTTTTCTACTTAAATGATGTTCTTACTAAATTGATACTTTCATGTAGCCAGTTTCCTGATTTCTCTTAGAAGGCTTTGGATTAACCAGTTGTAGCAAATTGTTTATGTATTTGTGCTAGTTTTAGCTTTTCTTACTTCTCTAGTATTATAGTTCTGTGTCAGATTTAAACTGTGATAGAGGGAAATAGTATCATAGCAATAGTTTTAGATTCTTACTCCTTCAAAAACTGATTGTATACTAATGGTTATGTGTGATCCTCCTACTTAAAGTTAGCTTTAGAGTAAAAATATTCTGCGCGTGTAGACGCGTTTTCTGTGGCGTAGGTGAGTGCTGTGCTGAGGCTGACATGCATGGGTGTGCGAGAGCGCGCTGGGTTCATCTCTTCCCAGCTCGGCCTTCAATGACGTCACGTGACTTGGCTTGAAAGCAGCCAGGATGGGACATTCACACTGCAGAAGTCTGCAAACCCTACAAATCAGTACTTTTTCTTTCCAAAGAACTATTTTTAAAGCATTCACTTGCACACCACAGGTGAGAGACAAGTTTTGGAACAAGTACAATACTCAGATTATAACAAATACAAAAATGAATTGGGAGAAACTTATAAAAGGAATAGACAGACATTAGAAAAGGGGCAAATGCAAAGGCAGGTGACATTGCATTAAACAACTGTTGATATTTAGAAAATGAGTACCACCTTAGGAGTCAGTTTGTCAGAAAGTATTTTTTTAAATCTAGGTTTAAGGCTACTGTTAGCATGTCCAGTGTACTGTGCACATTTACTGTACAGTGCATGAGACGCACAGCAGGCAGTGCATCGCAGGTTCATTTTCTGAATCTGTTGCAACAGATGACTATAAGCGGATGGCTTCAAATAGCAGACGCTAAAAACCAAACAAACAACAGCAACAAAAACCTATAAACTTATTCTCTCACAAGCCTGGCTATAAGCGGATGGCTTCAAACAGCAGACGCTAAAAACCAAACAAACAACAGCAACAAAAACCTATAAACTTATTCTCTCACAAGCCTGGAGTTCAGAAATCCAAAATCAAGGCATTTTCGGAATCGAACTCCATTTGGAGTTTCTAGAAAACAATTCCTCTTTGTTTCTTTCAGCTCCCCATGTCCACTGTCATTCTGGCTACATCACTCCACTCTGCGCCTCGTCTCTCACTGGGCTTATCCTCCGTTCTGTATGAGCTCTTTTGAGGACAATTCTGATTGGACTTAGGGTGTATGCAGATCACCCAGATGATCTTTCATCAAAATTCTTATTTAAAGCTGGATATAATGGCACACTCCTGTAATCCTAGCACTCAGGAAGCTGAGGCAGGACAGTTCCCCTGACTTCAAGGCTAGCCTGGGCTACAAAGTGAACTCAAGACCAGCCTGAACTACACAGCGAGACCCTGTCTCAAAAAAAAAAAAAAAAAGATTCTTAGCTTAATTTCATCCACAACCTTCTCCACCCACCTGCAAATATACCTCACATTTATAGTTTCCAGGGATGTGGGCAAAGAAATACCTTCTCAGAGACCACCACCCAGCCTCTGACAGCTTTATGCTACAGTTGTTTCTTAAATTTTTATTTTTATTTATTTATTTTTTGATATCAGGAATTGAACTCGGGACCTTGTGCTTGCCAGGCAGGCGCCTCTGCCACTGAGCTACATCCCGGGCCCTTACATTTTTAAAAATGATTTTCCCATTTGTTTGCTGGTTAGATTGCTCACTGAAAATCAGTTATCCAGGTAATAAAATAATTTCTGTAAAAAATTGAAGTAAATGCTACAAAAATCCACGTTAGCAACATTTAAGCATTTTGCACAATTTCTCAACTTTCTTTTATTATGTGTTCCCAAATACCATCCTCATTACTTTATAATTCTGTCTGGTGAGTCACTGACCACCCCCCGCATCACTCTGACACTTTCAGCTTCAGGATTTTATGAACGTTTTCACTGTTCACAATTCTTCATGGTAATGACATTAAAGAGCCTCTCACACCTCATGTGTTCTGAGCACCATGTTCTTTGACTCTCAGGATTTTACTGCTGACTGTGCAGAAACGTGAGCAACAGTAGCTTGAGGTCAGGGAGACGACAGACTTAGAGAATGGGCCATTTACTAACATGCGGAAGAGAAGAAGCATAAACTTAACAGGAAATGTTACCGTTTAAATTCTCGGTACCGTTTCACATCCTCACCGCAATGAGCAGGAGTTCCTGTTGCTTTACACCCTTGTCACTGTACGGTCTGCTCATTTGTTCATTTTAGTAATTCCAGGGTGTATAGTTTCGTCTCATTTTGATTTTAATCAGAATTTCCCTATTGAGAAATGATGCTGGCCATCTTTTTATACGTTTGGTTAGTCTGCGTATAATTTTGGTGAAATGTTCTTCAGATCTTTTGTCAACTTACTTTTACTTTTGTCAGTTTTCTTGTTGTGTTTTGACCTATTTCACTATTTTACTTATACCTCTTTTGTCAGATTTTTGATGTGCACATTTTTTTCCTGGCTTGGGGTTGTCTCTTCATTCCCATAACTGTATTTTTCACAGAGCAAAATTTTTAATGTTGATAAAGTTCAATTTATTATTTTTCCTTTATGGATCCTGCTTTTGGTGTGATACCAGAAAACTTGTCACCACACCCAAGAATGCACAGATTTTTTTTCCTATTCTGGAAGTTTTAGAATTTTATGTGTTATATTTTGGGCTATAATCCATTTTGAGTTATTTTGCACAAGATATGAGCTATGATGGCAATATTCATTTTCTGCATATGGATATCAGATAATTCCAGGAGAGTTGTTTGAAGAGGCCACGTTTCTTCTGTTGATTATGTTTTTGTGCATCTATTGTGATCTCTCTATTTTGTCTCACTGAGCCATTTGTCTGTCATCTCTCCCACATCGCAGTTGTGATCGTAGAATGTCTTGAAATACGGCAGTGTGCATCTTCCAATTGTCTCTTTCTTTTTTCATAACTGTTAGTGCCTTTTAAGTTTCTTTGTATTTTTATATAAAATTGAGAATATGCTTGTCAATATCTATAAAAGAGCTTTGTCTGACTTCTATGGTGATTATTTTGAGTCAACAGATAAAATGGCTGAGGATCCACATCTTAATATCAAGTTGTCAAATTCATGAGCCTGGTTTCATCTCTGTGTTTAGATGTTTTAAAATTTTCTTGTAGTAGCATTTTGTAGTTTTCAGTGTAAAGATCCAGGATTTAAATACATATGCATTTCAGGGTTTTTTTGGAGTGTTAGTGTAAATGGTCTTTTTATGACCAGCATATGGGAAAATGCTCAGTATTACTAGTTATAAGAGAAATGAAAATGAAATCCAAATGAAATATTGCCACATGGTTAGGACAGCTATTATCAATAAAAGAGCTAATGAATATGTGGGGAAAGGCGGACTGGGGAAAGGTACACTGTTGGTAAAACACTAGGAGATTCCTCCAAAAGGTAAAAATATAGATATCCCATATCTGGGTATTTACATACAAATTTAAATCAGGAGCACAAAGAAATATTAACACCCCCATATTTATTACTACAGTATTCATAATAGCCAAGATGTATAAACTACCAAATGTCCTGTAACAGATGAAAGGACTAAGAAAACGCAGCGTGCACATACAGTCGAGGGTCACTTGGCCTTAGAAAGGAAGAAATTCTGCTGGGAGACGGAGGTAGGAGGATCACAGATTTGAGACCAGCCTGGCCAGCTTTGTGAAACCCTATATGAAGAAGAAGACGGAAAAGGAGAAAGGAAAGGGGGAGGGGAGGGGGAGGGGGAGGAAGAAGGAGAAAAAATTTTTTTTGCAATATTCAGTAAAATGGATGAACTTGGTGGGGATTATGCTATTTGAAGTGTTATCAGCCACAGAAAGATGAATACTGTGTAATTCTATTTATATAAAATATTTAAAGCAACCACATTCATAGAACCCAAGGAGGAACTGGAGAGTTAAAAATTAACACCCGTAAAGTTTCAGCTAACCAAAAAGAATACACTGTAGTAATCTTCCGCACAACATTGTATCTCTAGCTAACAATGATGTATACTTTAGCATTTCTTAAGAGGGTAGGTCTCATGTTGTTCTTTATTTCATAAAATAAATTTTATAAAAGTGTTAATAAAATTTTAAATACTGTTCTGATACATAAAAACAAAAATTGTACATATAAGTGGAGTACCATATAATATTTTGAT